GCATACAAATACATTTTAGACCATTTTGAGCTTCCAACCTTGAGGCAACAGTTTGAGGAAGACCCTTTTCTGGTCCAGCATGAATGTCCCCCAGTTCAGAAAACCAGCTCCAAAAAAAAGACATGGGGTTTGATGAGTTTCATGGGGGGAGCTCAATTGGCCTTCAAACAAACCTAACCTCAACCCTACTGAACAACTCTGGGATAATCTGGAATGCCGATTGTGAGCCAGGTCTTTCAACATCTGTACCTGACTTCACCAATGTTCTTTTGGACACACATTCCCAAAGACACACTCCAAACTCTCGTGGAAAGCCCTTCCAAAAGAGCAGAGGCTGTAATAGCTGCAAAGGGGGGAGGACAACACTAAATTAGTAGCCATGGCTTTTGGAATGGGATGTCCAACAAGTGCATATAAACGTGATAGTCAGATGTTCACAAATTTTTTTGGAGTTTGTAAAAAGTTTGCTAAATATTTTGGGCACCAGTGTACTACAGGTGATAAAACTATGACAAAAATATTCCCTGTTAGGCTGGACCAGCCTTTCTCAACCAGGCTGCCCAGGCACCCTGGAGTGCCGTGAGGTTTATTCAGGGGTGCCTTGGCAAAATGTCTAAAAATTGCCCAAAACTTGTATACAAGCCAGCGGGAGGAACAAGCCTGCGTTTTATTTACACAAAGCCACAGGTTTTCATTGTGCATAATTACGACCTTCTAGCTGTCCTGACAACCAATGACATCATCAGCTGATAAGTAGGATGTCAGCTGCGTGCAAAGCATCCTAGTTTGACCCTCCCCTGCCCCTCTCCATCAGCACTGGGGTCACATTAGCTCAGTGATGGAGAAAAACTGAGGGAGAAGAGAAACATTGGAATACTAGTCAGTACCAGTGTGCAAAAGTGTATTTGCTTTGGAAGAATAAATCCCCTCTAACGTTGGGTGTCCTACATGTGTGGATGTTGCTGCGTTATATATATAAAACTATTCGAACAGTTTTTCACATTTTAGAATGGAGGACTGCCTTAGGGTGCCTCAGTCCATAATTTTAAAGGGTGCCTCGGGACAGTCCATAATTTTCATGGGTGCCTTGACTGAAAAAAAGTTGAGAAACACAGGGCTAGACATTGCAATTAAGGAATTAAAATGTAGTGACTGTTTCCACAGGAGCTGGAAGGCAGAGCTCATGCAGGATAGAGTATAAGTGTGCTGTAAGTAATCTTCACAATGTATGACAGTCATCAGAAGAGGATTAAATTAAGTAAACAATAGATTTAATGACTCGTAGAGCCTGAATATTAGTGCTGGCTTAACTGAATAAAAAACAAACAAAAAGGGAGAAACTAGTACAGCAACTGAGAGCAAACTTTGGGATGGAAGACAGCAGATAATAATACAGGTAAAGCTATGAATTCAGAAACTATGCCAGATCTGCTGACAACACGCTGGGGAATTAGGAAAGAATTAAGGAACTAATTGCTTCTAAACTGGTCACATAACGCCATATTAAAAGACAGAAACTACTTGTGTGCAATTAAGCTGGCTTTACACCTGTCTGCTCTGTGGCATTGTGTTCCATGCATTATGTTGTGTGTTAACGCATGTTCTTTTAAGGCAGCACACTCATTTTAATGAGATGTAGATGAAAAAGTATAGCTGGGTAGTGAGCAGGTGCACTGCAATGCAGGTGTATTGTGGAGGTGCTATTTAAGATGAATGGCAACAATCATTTCATGTGTGTTCTCAATGTTGAGAAGGAATCCATCCTGCTTGTAGGGTTCCCATATCTAAGCGATACAGATGTAAAAAAAAAAAAAACCTTTAAGTATATCTAAAACCAAAACTTTTCTTTTTTGGATGAGTAAGGAAGGCTTAAACCCTTATTCTTTTACCATTTTGGAGGTTTCACTTCCTTAACCAATATCCACCCGGGCACTGCACATAAACGGCTAGGTTGGACAAGCATCATTTTGAGTGGATGTGCCTGTACGTCATCTCAGACTCTGGGAGTGCGTGCAGCCATGGGGACCATCCCTTGGACCCAGTGCATCACCGATCGGGAGATGGGCTCTGTTATTGGCCCTTTTGATCATGTGATGGCTGTGCCCAATCGAAGCCATCATGTAATGTGAACAAAAGTTCTTGTCAGTTGATCGGCTCTATTTCTCCTCATGCAGAGCCCACAAGTGAGAAAGAGAACTGATCTGTGTTGCCAGCCATGGATCGGTGAATTTTAAAGCATTTTACATTGCTTTAACACGCTTATCACCCAGCCAGTGTACCTAGTGTACATCAACATCTGTCACAGTGTCACTTCCACATTTGTCACAATGTACCAGTGTCCCATCAACATCTGTCAGTATACCAGTTTCCTATCAACATCTGTCACAGTGTACCAGTGTCCATCAACATCTGTCAGTGTCCCAATGCAGAACAACATGTTCAATAGAGTTCCAACGCAACATCAACATCTGTTGGTGTCCGTAGTGGACCATCGACATCTGTCGTTGTCTGTAGTGGACCGTCAACATTTGTTGGTGTCCGTAGTGGACCATCAACATCTGTCAGTGTCCATAGTGGACTGCCATCATATGTTTGTGTCCGTAGTGTACCGTCAACATTTAATAGAGAGAAAACAGGTGGCGCACACACCTAGTGCATTATCCATTAAACGCGTCAGCCATTTGACCGCACTGACAGTGAGAACACCTTGCCTGCCGTTGTGGCCATTGTCATTTTTCTATGCTTTTTAGATACATGCTTCGTCTGTGAGTATGTTTTTATTATTCTTTCACTCCTTACAATAAACCTTGGATAATGCACTAGGTGTGTACGCCACCTGTTTTCTCTCTATCCAGTGGCTGATTTCCCTGTCTGAGGAGGGCTGCACCCCTGAAGCATTTCCTTTGGTTGTCGCTGTCCTGGTACCCTTGGCTTCCCTTTTGGCTGTGCATATCCTGAGGCGCTGGAGAGTACATACGATACGGTCAACATTTGCCTGTGCCCTAGTGCACCAACAACATCTGCCATAGTGTCTAAGTGGATCATAAACAACTCTGTTAAAGTGTCCTAGTGCACAATCAACATCTGTCAGTGTCCCAGTGGACCAGCAACATTTGTCACACAGTGTACCAGCGTCCCACCAACATGTGTCATAGTGGTCAGGAAGATAGATGTGTAATTTATGCCTCTAAAACACCTGAAGGTGTTCCTTGGATGTTGGGCCTCTCTATGTGGCTAAGCTGTGAAAAAGTCTCACACGTGGTATAGCCATACTCAGGATGAGTAAAAGAATGTATTTTGAGGTGTAATTGCAACTATGCCCTTGCAGTGTTTGAGAAATAACTTGTTAATATGACATTTTTGTGAAAACAAATTACATTTTTTCATTCTCCAAAGAATTGTTGGAAAAAATTAAAATTTCAAAAACTCTCCATGCCTCTTACTAAATACCTTGTACTGTCTACTTTCCAAAAAGGGGTCATTTGGGGGATATTTGTACTGTCCTGGTATGTTAGGGCCTCAAATAATTAGATAGGCCGTCAGTACATCAGGTGTGATTAACTTTTAATGATAAGTACCATAGCGTAGATATAAATACCATGGTATAAATTTTGGTCAAAATTTTTATGAAGAAAAAAATACTTATTTGCAAAATTGTACAACAGAAACTAAGAAAAATGCTTTTTTTAAAAACATTTTTGCTCTTTTTTCATTTATTTAGCAAAAAGTAAAAAAAACTCAGTGGTGATTTAATAACACCAAAAGGAAACTATATTTGTGTTGAAAAAAATGATAAAACTTCCATATGTATAGATATTTGCTTGACTGAGTAATTGTCATTTAAAGTGTGAGGTTGCTGAGAGCTGAAAATTGGCCTGGGCAGGAAGGAGGTGAAAGTATCCAGTATTAAGGTGGGTAAAGTTAATCATTCCAAAGTACAAAATGCGTCTCCACTTGAAGATTCGACCTCTATTCCTGTACTGGTGACAACTCAAAATTGGGATTTTCTCTCATTTTCAGTCCCAGTGACACCAGGAAAAACTGAGAAGGTGAATCTCCCAGCTAGGACACAAACCGCAATAAAAAGGGGTTATAACCCTTCTCTACGTCATTCAAATCTAAAAACATTCAGGCATTAGCTTAATTTAAGGCCCCTCCTTATCTCCATTTCACAGCTGTCCAGGACTGAATGAGGAACAAAATTAAAAAGAAAAATCTGCTTTTATGAGCTAATACATTCTTATCTTTCTGTGTCACATTTCAGGAGATTTAGAGATTGGCAAGTCTTTATTTCGATTTGTGGAGAATCACGCAATTCACAAATCAAGGCAGTTTGAGGAATCAATAGTACCTATGACGCTTCAAACTTGTCTTCATGATTAACCGCTAGCCTACAGGGCACTTATACCCCCTTCCTGCCTACAGGGCACTTATACCCCCTTCCTGCCTACAGGGCACTTATACCCCCTTCCTGCCTACAGGCCACTTATACCCCCTTCCTGCCTACAGGGCACTTATACCCCCTTCCTGCCAGGGCACTTACCCCCTTCCTGCCTACAGGGCACTTATACCCCCTTCCTGCCCAGGCAAATTTCCAGCTTTCAGCGCTGTCGCACTTTGAATGACAATTGCGCAGTCATGCAGCACTGTACCCATATGACATTTTTATCATTTTTTTGTGAGAGATAGTGCTTTATTTTGGTGGTATTTAATCACCTCTGGGTTTTTTTATTTTTTCTTAAACAAACCAAAAACCACTAAAAATTTTGAAAAAAAGACATTTTTCTTAGTTTTTGTTATAAAATTTTGCAAATAAGTGATTTTTCTCCTTCACTGATATGCGCTAATGAGGCTGCAGTGATGGGCACTGATAGGCTGCACTGATGAAGAGGCACTGGTAGGTGGCACTGATGGGCATTGACAGGCATCACTAATGGGCACTGAAAGGCAGCACTGATACATGGCACTGATACATGGCACTGATAGGCGGCACTGACCGGCACTGATAGGCGGCACTGACTGGCACTGTTAGGCGCCACTGATGCGCACTGATAGGAAGCACTGACTGGCACTGATAGGCAACACTGACTGGCACTAATAGGTGGCACTGATTGGCAGCACTGATAGTTGGCACTGATTGGCATTGATAGGTGGAACTGATGGGTGACACTGAAAGGCAGCTCAGATAGGCACTGATATGTGGCATTGATGTGGCACTGATACAAGGCACTGATGAGCACTGACACAAGGCACTGATGGACACTGACAGGTGGCACTGCTGGGGCTACACTGATCATCAGGACACACTGAACATCAGTGCCCTGATGATCAGTGTACATGTCCCCTCAGCGGAAAGCCGATTACTGGCTCTCCTCTCCTCTGTCAGCGTGACAGCTCGAGAGGAGAGAAATGCCGATAACCGGCATTTCCCTGTTTACATGTGATCAGCTGTGATTGGACACAGCTGATCACATGACCGAGCTGACATCTTCGGCCCTTTCCAAGATCGGTGATCCGCTGTGTCCGAGGGACACAGCACACCGCCGATCGCCATGCTGCACTATATACTTGTATGAAAAAGTATTCTGTTCTCTTTGTATTGCCTCCTTTGTGTGAAATCTATGGTGTTCCTGCCAGTCTCTCTGCATTCCTATTAAACACTGACCACACTAGGTATGAAGGCACAGTATGGTTGGTTTTCTTGCTGTGCTGGGAGCTAATCCAATGATAAGGTTTGCTCTGACATGCCCCCCCCCCCTGCACAGTCATTCACTGGGGAGACCAGTGTCCTGCTGTTCCTCCTCCCACAGCTCTCTGCGCTCCTTATGCAGCTGAGAACAGAGGGTATATGAACACTTATAAAAAGGGGGGAAATTTATTTAGATTGGTTGTATATGTATAAATAAATGTTTTGCCTTTATTTTCTGTTTTGAACTGAATAAGTTATTTTACAAGGTGAGGGTTCACATAAGCTTCACGTCTTTAGTGTTGTGAAAGGCATTGGAGTGGGAGGTGGAGAAGTGAGACTATATCTTATGAATCTCTATTATATTAAAGCTGGTTTTACATTGGAGACTGCATCAGCTGGTTCATTTCTACTTGACAAGCGTCCCAAATTAGTGCCATTGTCCAGGATCTAACAACCAGAGGTTTTTTGGATTCCTGGTCTCCAGCTGCACCCAGTGGTTTGATCTGCCTGTCCCAACATCACTACTGTGTTCTTAAATAATGTAGAACTGATGGTGGAAACCATAGAGAGCAGCAGAAGACCAAGAAACCAGCACTCACAAAAGTCTATGATTCAGCAGTTTCTCTTCAATACAACAGGGCACGGAGGTGCAGAGATGAGAATTGTCTTTTTTGCCGGGGAAACTAATTGATTTATAGCACTGCCAAATTATATATTGTACATTCGCATCAGTCCCTAACCCTCAAGAAGCATACAATCTAACTGACATACTAGGGTCAATTAACCTACAAGCATGTCTTTGGAGTGTGGGATGAAACCCACGCAGGCACAGGGAGAACATGCAAACTCCAGGCAGGTATTGCTGTGGTTGAGTTTCAAACTGATGACCCTGGTGCTGCCAGGCAGAAGTGCTAACCATTTAACCACTGTAAGGATATAATACTCATGCGCTGCCAAAAATAAATGATACGCTGCTGCGAGCACCTAAATGTTTTCCCACATCAATAAAACTCCCCAAGAATAGTGCTGCGCTGCCCCCTAGTGAGCCAAAAATTAAACTAATAATAAACACCTACTTGAGCATCAAACCCAATATGTAATTGAATAAATCTGTGAAACAAATAAAGTCAATAGTAAATAAAAAACTGGGTGCAGCAGTATATCAGAAATAAAACATGATCACAATAGCAGCTCGGCCAGGTGTTTACTGCTATTGTGATCATGTTTTATTTCTGATATTTGTTTCACATATTTTACTGTTCTTTTTGTTTTTTATTCCTCAGCTCAGTTGGGTCTTTATTATAGGTTGGCCAGGTGTTTATTGCTACATGATTAAGGTTTATATTTGATATGTTTCACATAGCATTTGGATTTGGTGGCTCGGCCAGTTTTTTATTTACTATTGACTTTATTTGTTTCACAGATTTATTCAATTACACGTCGGGTTTGATGCTCGAAGGTGTTTATTTATTATTAGTTTATTTTTTGGGTCACTATGGGTCAGCGCAGCACTATTTTGGGGGCATTTAGAAACTGTGCTGTCCTTTTTTCAGTATTCCAATTTTGAGGCCCATTCACAGTTCTACAGACTGTTGTGGTACATTGTATTTAGGCATTGCATTCATTTTGAATAGGATGCCAATGCATGGTACTAGATTCAAAGTTGGACATGAGACAATGCAATGTACTACATGCTGCATGTGAGTTGAGATGCACTGAAGATTGGCTGCATTGTTACTTGGGCGCCTGCTGTGCAGAGTGGGGTCTTCTGACTTACTGATACTGCCAAATGTCCTCCCCTCCTGGCATCTGCAGAGTACCCTATAGTGGCAGCCAGGGCAGGTAAGAAGTGAGAGCCAATTGCACTGAGAATCACTAAAGCAGGAAGGTTCAGAGTCTCTCTCTCCTTAGGTGTCGCAGTGGCTTTCAGCTGTCGCACCTCCAAATCTTCATCATGCAATTGTCTCTTCTCCTCGCAGACGATCCTGCCAGTCTTGTACAGAATTAGGTGAAAAGGGCTCTTTACTTCACAGTTCGCCAGCAAAGGAGACACTTACAGGCTGGGGGAGCACAGTCATAAAAGTTGTCAGGTGGCAACCACTGGGAGACTTGAGGAACAGAAAATGGTGGTGCAATGTTCCGGTCTCAATGAGCTGCTCAGCAATAGGCATGGGATTTGGTGGCTAATTGGAGGGCTCTATTAAATTGCCTTCCCAAACGCTGGTCCTGAAGGTATAGCTACTAGAAGGAGCTGGCCTCTTTTCAATGTACTTTGAGTCCAATTGTCACAGTCCGAGATGTAGACCCTGGTCCTATGACTATTAACCCTGAGAGTTTAGTCTAAAAGGTAGTTCCTGCTCTGCCAGGGACCTCCTCACAGGAGTTTGGGCTTAGCTGCAGGCTACCCCCAGGTCACTCAACAGATACTCACAGATGTAGAGGTGGGTAGGTGCTGAGCAACTGGAAGGTGAGAACGGCCCAAGGCACTGGGCAGCTGGAAACAGGGGGAATCTAGAGGTTGCAGGTGCAGAGATCCTGTCTGTAGATGCCGCAGAGATGAAGCAGTGAAGGCTCTTACTGTGGCTGCAAAGGCTGCAGGAGCAGTTGAGGTACCACTGAGGCTGCAAGTGCAGCGAGGACTGGATGCAGCTGGGGTGCAGCGGAGATGTTGCACAGGTACAGCAGAAACTGCGGGTGCAATGGTGATGTAGCAGAGACTGCAAGTGTAGCTGAGGTGCAGCAGAAGCTGTGGGTCCCATGGGGATGCAGCAGTCGGAGGATGTTGCAGAGTTACAGCAGAAGTTGCTGGTGCAATGGAGATGTAGCAGAGACTGCAGGTGTAGCTGAGGTGCAGCAGAAGCTGTGGATCCAATGGGAATGCAGCAGTCGGAGGATGTTGCAGAGTTACAGCAGAAGTTGCTGGTGCAATGGAGATGTAGCAGAGACTGCAGGTGTAGCTGAGGTGCAGCAGAGGCTACAGGTGCAGCAGGAATGCAGCAGAGTCTATAAAACTAGGTGCGGAGGAACCCGACTGCGGGAACTACTGCTTTCAAGCAGAAGCACAGTGCTTCAGTAGCTCAGGGGAGAAATGTGGACTTATGTGGTGACAGCATGCAACCAGTTCATTGATGTGTGATGTGCCTGAGACACTTCAAATAGAACCCAGAAGTGCCTGTGGCCGCGAAAAGTGGGGTGAGTAGCGGCATATTTACCACAAGGCAAACAAGGCATTTGCCTACGGTGGCAATTTTCAGGGGGGGGGGGGGGGGAATGGTGGGGGCCAGGGTGGTGGGCGCCCAATTCTAGTGTTGCCTAGGGCAGCACAAGAACTAAATAGACCGCTGGGGGTGAGGGTGCTGGATCATGGTAAAGGAAACAAACCATGACACCAATCCTCCTGAGGTAGCATTACAGAAGTGTCCTTCAGTGAACAATAGAGAGCATAACTCACCATCTTGGGGTGCTTTTTAATTTGTAAAATCCAAGCAGCACCTAAGTAAGGGACAATCAGTAACTCCATATCATAAATGAATCGAGCTGCTGGTCCTTTATTTCAGGATTGTTTCTGACGCGCGTCTTTTTATCTAGGTGTAATCTGCTAGGAGAACATTTGCTAGAAAGCCAAAGAGGTCAGCAGATTGCCCACACCAGGTGTAAGTGAACACCCACTGCAAATGTAAAGCACATTATCACCCCTATCATTCATAGCACAGTATTTAGTCCATTACCAGGGTGCAGAGTTTCCCCTAATATAGGCGTCGCAGTTACACTCCAGATGTAATTGGATCTGACAATTACATGTTAAATGAGAGGAAGTGATCATGTGTGAAATGAAATTTCACAGTAACACTTCTTTGAACCACCATTAACCTTTTAATTGATATTTTTGGCATGATGAGACAAGTGCGTTCCTTCACTGGAAAATTCAGTTTTGTTTGGAAAAAAAATGATGTAACATATAGAAGAACATTTAACATTAGTGGGCCCCATTCACAGAAGCAGATCACATGCGGTATTTAGGTGTCCAGATACAGTTTGGCAAAGTATTGCATGCGATCCTGAAACTGTCAATTATACCGTTTTGCTGTATTTACTGCAAAATGCTCATTAAATACCACATGAAAAGGCATTAAAGTCAATTCACTGATGGAAATAAATAACTGAATGTGTGTAGCAATTAAATAGTGGTCCAGGCACGCAGTATTTAACCGCTTTACTGCTACAGGGTGACAGCAGTGCGCAAAATCACGTATATATTTTTGCAGCCACAGGTAGGGGATGCACCCTCTACCCACGCCGTCATGGCTGCGGCTGTCAATGCGGGTCCCGGCCGGTAATTACTCACAGGAGCCCGGTGATTGGCAAAGATCTCCGGCGGGGGGGGGGGGGGGGGAACTGTTAGTAAAACACTTCTCTACCGGTCAGCTTCTGCACACTGCTTTGCATGACTGTGCACACCATACCTTGCTCTGGATGGGGTTTACACGGGACTGAAGACTCTCTCCATTCTCCTATGAGGCAGCATAAGGCCAATCACCAATCATCAGTGCTGTCACTTGGGAAGAAGGGCAATGAGCAGGGGTGGACTGACAACTCATGGGGCCCCCGGGCAATAGGGGATCATGGGGCCCCTGTGTCCTTGCCCAAATTCAAAAAAGCCTATGAAAAAGGTACCAGGGGCATCTCATGGGGCCCCCTACTGACCCCGGGCCCTCGGGCACTGCCCGAGTTTCCAAATGGTCAGTCCGCCCCTGGCAATGAGTCACCTATTCGTCCATATCCACAAATACTGTGCATTTTTTTCTCTCCTGGCAGTTGAAGAGAGTAGGCCATATCATAAAGGAAACTCAGTGCTTTTTCCTGCATG